ATCGGGTTGCTGGGATATACCAAGGTACAATGTAGCTAATATACCGGACAGTTTCCTGAATGATGAACATACTGCACGCAAATTACAAGATACACTTCAGAAGATAGACGATGCCCTCACACAAGGTCAAGACGCTCACTCTGCATATGAGAAGTTTACTACTTTCATTAAAAAAGAAATGGACTTAAAGCTAAATAAGATAAAGACATTTACTGAGAAAAACACCAACAACAGGTATTATTGTAGGCGAAAGCCATATTGGACTGATGAATTACAATTATTATGGGATGGGGTTGGTGTAAAGGAAAAGCGCTGGTTGTCTTTTAAAGGTTGTGTTCATCGTAAACGTGTTCTTAAAGGCGTTTTTCATTCTGCAAGAAAACTGTTTGACAAAGCAAACCGCAAGGCGAGAAGATCATACCAGCTACAGAAACAAGAAGAACTAATTAGTTTACAGAACATTAACAGCGGCAGAGACTTCTGGAAAAAGATAGGTCGACTTGGTATAGCCAACGACAGAAAGTCTAGTTCCGTTATCCCTATGGAGGTGTTGATGCACGTCGGGTCCGTGACCTGTGAGACTGACACTGTATTGGATCACTGGAAAACCTCCTACAGCACGCTTTATAACGGTAGTGAGAATATAGCGTTTGAACGTGCTCATTATGATACTGTGTGCGAACGTGTGCGTAGCGGTACTGTGGAGTGTGCAGATTATGATCTGTCGGATTTGAACCGCTCTGTCTCAGTCCAGAAAGTTGACCTTGCTGTTATGCAGATGAAAACAGGAAAAGCGGCTGGGGTAGACGGTATACCGGTAGAAGTACTACGAAATCCTCATTGCATTAACTTACTTCACCATATTATTAAGTATTGTTTTGAACATTCAGTGTCGCCGTCTCAGTGGGGAGCAGGACTAATAACTCTTATTCCTAAGGACAAAAGTACCCCGTCAGATCCTTTGTCTTACAGGGGCATTACTCTCATATCAATACCCCGTAAAGTCTACACGTGTATACTGAACTGTAGGATACAGAAGTGGTTGGAGTCAAATAATATTCTTGTGGAAGAGCAAAATGGTTTTAGACCTAAGAGAAACTGCACTGATCACTTATATGCACTTTATAATATTGTTAATAACCGTAAAGCCTCTAAACGATCTACGTATGTCTGTTTTGTTGATATTAAGAAGGCGTTTGATAGGGTTAATCGCAATTGCCTTTGGTACAAGCTTATGTCTGTTGGTATTCATGGTAAAATGCTACAAGCTGTACAAGCCTTATATATGGACCTAAAGTGTGCAGTTAAGCTCAATGGTTTTATCACTGAATCTTTTAATGTTACCTTGGGCGTTAAACAAGGATGCAAGTTATCGCCAACGTTATTTTCCGTTTATATTAATGATTTGGTGTTAGACATGAATAAGTGAAACTGTGGCATACCTATTGAAAGTTCTGTGTTATCAGTTTTGTTGTATGCTGATGATATAGCCTTGTTAGCTGAAGACGAAGACTCGTTACAGAAAATGTTAAATGTTTTAAATATATGGTGTCAAAAATGGCGTTTGGATATTAATTCAGACAAAACCAAAATCATGCATTTCAGAAACAAATCTGTGGCTAGATCTGAGCGAGTATTTGTATGCGGCAAATCTATTATTGATTATGAAAGCTCTTACAAATATCTTGGTTTAACTTTTAATGAGCATTTAGATATGCACAAAACAGTCCAGGTACTGTGTAAATCGGCTAGCAGAGCTCTTTCTGCATTGTATTCAAAGTTTAAACACGCGGGTGGCATGTCTTACGAAGTATTTAACAAGCTTTATAAAGCTCTTGTAGAACCTGTTCTATTTTAGGGTGCTGGCATTTTGGGTTTGAATAAGTATAAGGAAGTAGAAATAATTCAAAATAAGGCTTGTCGTTTGTTTCTAGGCGTAAGAAAAAATGCCCCAGTTACTGCTATTAGGGGGGACATGGGATGGTGTTCTGTGAAAGTGTCACAGCACGTTGAATGCTTTAGATTATATTTTAGAATTCAGAATATGCAGGCCCATCATCTCCCTCTTATCATTCATAATTGGTCCAAAATCCGATCACAATCCTGGGATAAAAAAATCGTAAACATTTTAGCTCACTATAATTTGTCATATTTACCTTATTGTGGATACAGCATTAAACAGTGTGTTGACCGTGTAAAGTGTTTCTTAACTGCTGAAGATTGTGATATGTGGTATACTGCGCTTTGGAATGACAAGAATAATCCAAATGGCAATAAATTACGCACATACAGAATGTACAAATCATCACCTACTGCTGAGCCTTATTTATGTCATGTACGTTTTAGAGATCATCGAAGACTTTTAGCATCCTTTCGATGTGGTATTTTACCTTTACATGTTGAGACCGGCCGCTACGCCAAGCCACCTACCCCACTGTTGGATAGGACTTGTAAATATTGTCACGCCAATCCTACTAATGATCATGTAAATTATGTTGAAGATGAATGTCACTTTTTAATAGAATGTCCATTTTATGATGATTTAAGATACAACTAAGCTAGAGAAGCAACTTCTGTAGATAAAACATTTCATTATATGAGTAGTTTAGAAAAGTTTATTTGTATTATGAACGAAGAATCGCTCCAATGTATTTTAGCCAAATCAATTTACAACATGGTAAAAAGAAGGCAATTTCATTTTAAGCGAAGTATGTATGTATGTATGTATGTATGTATGGATGTATGTATGTATGTATGTATGTAGGTAAGTATGTATGTATGTATGACGTGGTGTGTGTGTGTGCACGCACGCACGCACGCACTCGGGGAGCGGGGACGGCGCAACGCGGTGGGGGGAGTTAAGGGGGAGCGCACTGTTTAACTTAGGACTTTCGAAGTCAGTTGCCCTGTATCCTGGGGGGGGGGTGTGTGTTCAACGTATATGCATTCCGAAAGACGGAATGAATGTTTAAATGAATGGATGGCTGTAAATGAATGAATAGACGTTTATGCTGCTGTTAGCAATATCTACGTTTACCAGTGAACAACGCTGTTTGGACAAGTTGACACACAATCATTAAGGTCAGACATTATGGCCAGGGCTTCGTGATCCTAAAATGTCAGGTATTGGGATTGCCCCTATCCAATAATACTCACAAGAGTAACATAGCAGCAACATCTGACTTTAAGAATTTTAAATGCAGTATAAAATACAATTCATTGTCAAATGTACAAAAAACACTTCAAGGCAAAGCTACCTCAGCAATGTAGACCTATTACGTAAACACTGAATGTCACCAAAAGTACTTGCCAGAGTTATACGATCTTTCTGTGTATTAAGATAGGGGATTGCACATTTTAATTTAATATCATGATGTAAAACAGCCTGAAAACATGTTCACCAATCGGGCTGAGTTTATCACACACCTCGCAGATATCCCCTGCATCAGCATCATTGTAGCGGCATCATTTCGTTGCAGCCTTACCGTTAGCGTTATCAAATACATACGTTGAGGATGATAAGGTTCAGAAAATTACAACGAGAAACAAAACTCTTGCTTAGTTTTCCACACAATTTAATATAAAACTGCCAAAGTTTAGGCAGCTGGCTGGGTTTAAAGCCTGTACCTCAGTAGTAACAAATGCTTTAATTATAGGTTCAAGTGATTTACTCATTCAACCAACGACACTTATGGACTAATGTTAATATTTTAAAATATTATAATTAACTTATACTTTTAATCATTTGAAACGTTAGAGTGAGTGTTCTGCTCGTACACACAATGCCTCTTAAACATATATGTTTAAATACACTTAAAACGTGCAGGACTAACACAATATAACACTGCAAAATACTAGTATCAGTTCATCGTGTAACATTCTCTGTTTGTAATTATCACGCATTCACTTGTAGTAAAATGTACTACAAGTTTGTGAACTGGTCTGCGGAATTCCCCTTTCAGTGTTCTCAATACCACACTTCTAACAAGTCCTCTTTTGTCGGAGTCGGTTGCGATCAGTCGTCCTATTGGCCAGTGGAGTCTAGGTGAGCTATGGCCCATGATCAGAACAATATAAGTCCACTTGCAAGTTGCGTTTGGGCACATTTCATTTCTGTCGCACTTGTAAAGATACAAGATACTCTTTCCACCAACAAGACCAGATTACATTTGCAGGATACTGGATCCTTCGCCATCTCCGCTGCATGTAGACATCGTCATGTTGAAAATGACCTGGAGTGAGTGAGTGGGCTGGGTTTTACACCGCTTTTAACAGTATTCCAGTTATATCACGGCGTGTCAGCTTAATGTGGGAGGAAAGCCCGAAGTGATGCAGGTTTCAGACGTTTACCACTTTGGTGAAACCCACGAGCACGGGTATGGTGCTGACAAACCTAGAAACATAATCGGGGCAAACCGGGATTCGAACCCACAATCATAGGTTTCTGGTGTGCCCAAGGGACGCAACTCTGCACAGCGAATCGCGACGCCTTAGACGACTGGGGAACCCATGCCCCCAAAATGACCTGGAGGTAATATAGACACATTTGACTTCATCATCAGTAGATGATTAGGCGTTTAAGGATTGAGATCGTCAGTACTGTCAGATACAGTTGTGAAGTGTCGAGAGTTTACAATGGCTTCAACTTCGTACAATATTGTTTGATACGACTCATCATTCAAACGTTCACCAAACTCGCTGAGAAGAGGAAAACGAACCTGGTCAGACGTTCCCAAACGCCAACGATATGGCTTGCTGATCTAGGGTTGAATTTCTAGTCAATATTACCTTTCAGAAGGTGAAGACTGATTACGTTCCTGGCTCTTTTCTGCTCCTGCTTGTTGCAGTTCTTTAGCTGCACTGATAAAGTTAGTACCATTGTCACACCATATTTCTTTGACAGGTCTTTTCGGGCTATGGACATTGAAGCATGAAGGAACGAGTCTGTATTCAGAGAATTTGCTGTCTCAATATGGACGCCTCTGCTCACAAGACATGTAAAGAATGCACCAAAGTGTTTTATATTATCAGTAACATACATTTTCAATAATTTGAAACATTAGAATTAAAGTGTTCGGTTCGTACAGTCATAAACATCAATATTTATATTGGCATTTGTATCAACACAAGCCTCCAGCGTGACCATCAGCATCACAATCAGCACAAACACCTGTATTGACACATGCAACATCTGGATCTTGAACACGTGTATTGAAGAGCACACAGAGAGAGCAAACATAGAGTTAGTTCTTTAACAAGTGTAATACAAGAATCAACTAGGGATTCCAACTACCTCGTGTGCAAATCTTGTATTGATCTTCAATGATTATGACACGTTTTTACATTCCCAAGCACTACGGCAGATCTTTTGGCTGTTCTATGCACTTTCCGTCCTTAAGCCATTGTTTCATATCTGTGTGAGATTTTCTAGTAGTATTTCCATGTAACTTGGCACACAGCTGACACCTCCAATCAAAATCTGTTCCTTCTGAAATAATGTATTCATACTTGTGCTTCTTTTCTAAAATTGCCCCCATAGCTGTCTCATTCCTCTCCAAATATCGGATATAGTTCGCCAAACTCTTTGGACTGTCAAATGATGCTGTGTTGATGAAGGTTCCTTCTGGCAGAAGACGTTCATAGTCAGCGCCTCCACGAACGATGGGAATAGCTGAAGTCATGAACGTGTTGTAGAACTTCTCTGTGATGTAGTCTTTACATAGGGAATTTTCAAACGAAAGATAAAATCTATACGTGGTGTTTAACAGACCAAGACACTCGAAGGACCTTCCTTTTGGACAGTCATAACTCTTAGTATTTCTGCAGGCGCCATAAATGTCGACATCAATATGTTTCCGCAGTTCTCGAACATACACTTCCCTCTTTGAGGGTGTACGACAGTTGCTTACAAACCAAGCAATAGATCGGCTTTTCCGTCTCACAACATCACTTATATTCACACTGCCTCCAGTGTACACTATCCTATTGTAAGGAAATGGTATATCCGAATCCAGTCGGTATGTCAATGTCCAGTTAAAACGTCCATTCCAGTCAGGACGGAAAATCGTGTTAGTTGAATAGTGGGGAGGTGCTTCCCATCCATACATAATCCACACCTGGTTCATGTCCGTGTTTGGGTGTTTTGATGAAGGCAAATTAACACCATTGACAACCACAGCATCAGCTGATGAAATATGTGCCTCGTCTGTACTTATTTCACACGAACGAACGTAACAGTGGGCGAAAGATGTAACTGTCTTGTACCAGGGTGGGACGTTCATCCACACAATGCGTTTAGTTGCATGAGGAGAATCTGCTGAAGTGATGACCACATTTCGTCTACGAAGTACGAGGGGATGCTTTTGAGAGACCTCGAGGATGAATGTTTCTCTTATGGACGTGTTAACTTTTGTTGAATTGAAAGTTGTGATTTGGAACACACCCACATCTGGATTAACTGTCCAATAGAAAGCTACAGCAGCGAGAGTTGTCATTGACAGACATATAAACAAACATCTTTGGTAGTTGGAATTCATTATGTCCGGAGCTGAAAAAAAACGTTGTAAAGAATTATTATTATGGCATGCTTTATTACTTTTATGGACATACATTGTGTCCTGAACACTGATGAACTAAGATTCAATATTCCGTGGTGTTGTGTGTGCATGAAACTTCTACATGTATTTGCCCACGTGAATTCCGGCTTTGTTGGTTGGTTTGTTGTTTAACGCCGCACTCGGCAATATTCCAGCTATATGACTGCGGTCTGTAAATAAACGAATCTGGACCAGACAATCCACTGACTAATATCATGAGCATCGATCCACGTAATTGGGATCGATGACATGTATCAACCAAGTCAGCGAGCCAGACCCCCCGATCCCGTCAGTCGCCTCTTACGACAAGCACGGTCGCCTTTTACAGCAAGCATGGGTTGCTGAATACCTATTCTACCCTGGATCATCACGGGTCTCGGGTTGCGAAAGGACCCCAAATCGAGTGAGTGAGCATGGTTTTACGCCATCGTGAGCAATATTCCAGCAATATCGCGGCGGGGTACACCAGAAATAGGCTTCCCACATTGTGACCATGAAGGGAATCGACCCCGGGTCTTCAGCGTGACGAGCGAAACGCTTTTACCTATAGGTTACCCCACCTCCCCACATGTGTTTGGAACATTGCTGACAAAATAAGACAAAATAATGTTTGAAAGTTAGAATACTACGTTTGATTGTTTTTGAAATAACTCAATCATGCACATTGTAATGACTAACTGTGTCCAATCAATAGTCTAATGCTGATGCTTATATCGTGAAAAAATAAGTCCTAGAAATGTTACGTTGTGCACCCGGTTCTACAGAGGCGAACTCGCTATCTTTGACGTTTTCAACAATCAGCATGTGTTGTAGTGTGCAGCAGTAGGCGAAGTGTTTATTCTGCACACGTAAAACTCCACACAGTCAACTGAGTACGGGGTATTGAGAGAGCTGGTTATATTTTACAACACAGTTTCAGGGCGTAAGCCAATCTTAAACCACTTCGAATATCGATTTCCAAACCAAATGGGAAAACCCACTGCTACTGCTATTATGAGGTTAAAATGCGTCTAAAAACTTAGAAAATGGTAACAAAATTGTAACAAATCAAACTGTTGATAACTGCAATGGTGTGGTTGCATTAGGTATATAAAGTTCGTGACAGAGAATTATGAGTTAGAAATGAATTAATGGAGACATGACATTTCATATTTATCATAAGAGTATTCTGGACATTTCATATTTATCATTGGATTGGGGAAGCGTATTAAATTACTTTTGCTTTCTGCATGTAAGACGTGCGAACTGTCTTTGTTTTTTGTTAGCGCACTCTGTTAGGTTTATTTTGAGGGTTTTTTTACATGAAGAAAAGCCACGCCCTTACAAATCCGTGTGGCTGAGGGGTAGAGATTGAGATATACAGACTTGTAGAAAAGTTAAAACTATATCTGATTGATATAACCAAAGTAATCAATGATGCGGTTACTTCAATGTTGAGCATTTTTCCATTTAAGACCCGTGGTCTTCACAATATATGATTTTTTCTATGGTGTTGAAGTGTTGCATCTATTGTATAAGATTTCTGACCTCTGAGTTATAGTTATTAATTTACACACACATATATAAATGATGTCAAGACATTACTGACGTGCATGTAGAAATATATCAAACGTCATTAATATTTGGAGACAACAAGTTAAACGCAATAGAAAGAGTATAAATGACGTTTGATATGTTTCTACATGCGCGTCAGTAATTTCTTCACATCATACTTGTGAAGAAACTATGATTTGATAACTTTTAAAGCATCTAGAAAATGGATTTTCAAGAGATTTGTATTCATCACTGCATAAACAACAGTGATCGTTTTCTCTTTTTTCCAATTTAATATAAACATTACCACAATTGCTACAGTTCGGTGTAAAATTATATAAGGAAGATTTTATGCATAACTATCTTCAGAAAATTTATGAATTATGTCGAAGCATTTTTGGAGATAATTGTGTATTAGCGTGGTGTTTAATTTAAGTTCCCATTCCCTGTATTTAGGGACTTCACAAGGTCAGAAAGTAACTTACAAATTATATTTTCTTTGTTCTTCCGTTTTTACTGTACCACTGTATTATGACGATTTATCCAATAATGTGGAATAGAATGTATAAGTTTGAAATAGAGAAGATATGTTCCAGTTAGGCTAAACTCGTCTTTAAAACATCAAATTACTTCAAATGTCTGTCAATACGTCAGCAAAGGTCCGTCAGTGGTTAAGCGTTGCTGTGCATTGGGCACGAATGAACACCACTGAGAGGAGAATTAACAAACCAATATTTATTTTGGCGGATAAATCTACAAGAAAGAACTTGAACTTTAGAATCAGAGCTTATCTACAGAATATTATACCGTATATCACAAGTTCAGCTATTCCTGTGGAAAAACGGCTTTTAGTTAAGACTGTGCAAAACGCTGCTTTTAATAAGTATATAACCATATGGGAAACTAACGTCCAGGCGGAAACTGGAGTGCGCGGGTCAGGCAGAAGCAAACTTCGGACATACAAGTCTTTCTAGAAAAGGGCGGGGTATATACATGTGGTTATAGAAAGGAATTCCGTCCGTCCGTCCGGCCGGCCGGCCTTCTTGGGACATTTTTTGTGCGACCTACAACTTGAAAACTACTGCATAGAACTTTGTGAACACTGTCTATACCAATAGGGGAGGTGCAATGCGAATTTTGATTTCAATATTTGGATTGTCTGACAAAATGCAGCTATTTCTAATATATTTACTTGGAATGTTTTTGACCTATAACTTGAAAACCACTTCATGGATTTTTTCCCTTTAAGACGCTTGAGGGTTTATTCAAGTAAGTGTGTCATACCATTCAAATGACATCAATTAATATATAATAGTGACGTACAATGATAATAATGATAATGTCCAAGATTATTGCGCTTATATAGCGACGTGCATGCACGTCTGTGCGTGTGTGGCTGCTTGTACTAGTCCGGACTGATGCCGATTTATAGTGCTAGCTCACTGAGATACCATGCCGAAGTTTAACATGAATACCCCACTTAGACACAGTATACTGACTCCGAGCCGACCAGTCCTTGTTTTAGCCCCTCTTTACCCCCACAGCTCTACTCGTATCACATTAATCATTACCTCGAAGTTGTAATTTCGGTCTCTGTTATCTGCCCGTACCTGCCGACTTTATCTTTGATTACGTAATTTACTGTTCGCGTGAATGAGCTTGCCAAGGAGCAGCCGTCATGGTCGACCAGTGGCGATAAGAACGAGAAATACTGGTCTAGCGACTTTCGAATTTTATAATTTCCTAGTTTAAGTTTAATTTGTGAAAAATATAAAAAGTACAATGAAATATATGCACTGTACTATTCTAGTACATATTGGCTCAAATGACCTTATAGGCCTTATAGAGGGTAAAGAGATGTGTAATCTCAT